GATGGAATCCTGAAACCAATCAAATCCCTACAAACCAACACTTAAATACTAATATTGTTATTGACAACTATTCTAGAATATTCTATGTATATTAACATATGTATATATAATTGTAGAGCAATAAGAGGAGGGATTTATCGAAAAGGATATTCTTTGCTCAATTATTTTGTGTTCTACAGGTGTCTGAATGAATATTTTTTGCTATATTAAAATGCCATGCTCAACTTAACGCATAGGCAGCAATTCCCTGTTAGGTCTAACATAGATAAATAATAATATTTTGGTGAATAATAAGTAGAACAAGAATAAATAGAGCAAACAGTTGTTTTCAATAAATTCCTTTTTTTAGGCTCTACAACTACGAATCCATTAATTCAAGCATACAATAGGTAGTAAAAGCAAATAATAATAACAATAATAATAAAAACGTGTATCCACTGTGATTAAACTACTTGAAAAGACGCCAATAAATGACCTTAAGTACTTTAAATTGTCGATACATCTACAGCTTATAACTGCGTTTAAAGGAAATAAAGTCTATGAATTGTATTGTTCGGGAAATGTATCGTCAATTGGTGTAACATGCTTCACATATTTTAGCGATAAATTTTGAGGCATACTAATGGACACATTTTGTCGACATCAGTCAATAGTAAACAGTGTGTGTGTGTGTGTGTGTAGTCGATAAAAGTATCAGAGACTGATGCCAGTTTGAAATGTTTAATCAGTTGAATGAATACGTAAATTACTACAGTTATTATTTAAGTGTTTCAAGGAGACATACTTAAATAAAACTCTAACCAGAGATAAGTATCCTTTCAAACCCCGATGGGAGCGCGCTGATGATGCACCCCAAACTAGGACGAAACAGCTGTTCAGTCCTCGCAGGTTTTCCACTGATTCTCTAACCGATGTCAACTCATCATTAAAGCGTGTAACCAATCACATCCCCGCAAACCAACAATTGAATGATTAACGAATTAGTTAGCAGCGAAGCTTTTAAATCGCTTATTGTATTCTACAGAACTAATATATGTGTAAAACTTGGGCACTGTGATAATAAGCAATTCCATGTTAGTTTGTTTATTAGATGTATCACAAAGTGAAACAGTACTACATGCAGTTATATACAACCATTCAATAGGATGGAGGGGATAGGATGACAGTTTTAAAATATGATGTCAGAGGGTGGAGGGAGGGAGAGATTGATAACAGAAGCTTTGTTCATCGAATCAACTGCAAATACATGTAATAGGAATGATTCAACACCTGTCCAGTCAGATATCTGGAAAGTTCTACTACCCCAACAGAGACAAATAGGAGAGGACACAGAAAACTATAAAAGTCAAGTTTCAAAGTCGTGTGATTACAATTGATATGATTACGAACAATAAACTGTGTTCGAAACTGTGTCATCCAGTAAATAATACGGTTTCACTCACTGTGTGATACATCTAATAAACAAACTAATATGGTATTCTTCAGAAGTCTACTCAACACTACTCAAACTTTCTCCCATTTAAGTGATTAACCACCACAAATTTAAAAGACAAACTGAAAAGAAACATATCAAAATGAAACGTATTCTCATACCCAAGCTAACATTATTATTATTATATAATCATTGAAAAATACGAGTACATCACTAGAAATCTTCGAATTTCGGTGTGGAGGGATACGATTGGTTTCACAGAGTTAGATCACAGATTGATATTACTTAGCTGGCGGTAGTGTCAGTAAATCACAAATTTAACAAGAGTTATAATTCATGGGACGGTGACGGATTCCTTCCTAGTGGCCGAATAGCCTCGTAAGCTAAACATCCTGGGTTTGATGCCAAACGGCGGGGTTTTGGGTGAGTACTGATGAAAATTCTCAAACTAGAATGAAACAGCTGTCCAGTACTCCTTGTTTTTCAGTGGTTCCCTAACTAACTTCGGTTCATGATCTAGCTTACTACACATCTGTTTGGTTGGAAGTGAAAAGCTACACCTCTTCAGCATAAAGAACTGATGATAAAGAGGATGACTAGTTTTAAAATCTAGTATAGGGTCCAAGTAGGAAATTAAATACCTAGGCGTCATTCTATCTGCTGATCTTTCCTGGTCGTTTCATATCTTGATGATTTCCAAAAAAAATATTCCGTTTTACTTTCTACATCAAGAAGTTAAGACATTCTGGAATAACCCAACCCTTACTCCTACAATTCGTTAACTCTCGCATCCTGTCTATTATTCTCTATTGTCCCCTCTTAGTTTTTCCAGGGCCACTGAAGAAAGACTGTACCTCACGGCGCAGGATATTAAAGGTTGTCAGCAGGATAATCAATGTGCCACTTAACCAACTTGCTAATATCCTGGTTGACAGGCACATGGACTCATGTGAAAAATGGGCAAAATCCATTTTATCTAACTCATACCACCCTCTTCATTCACAACTCTCCCCTTGTATCTCATCAGGCAAAACCAGAAGCCTATACAAAAAACTATATGCTCGCACTAGTAAGTACCCTAATTAGCTCGTGCTCTGTGCGATAAAGAAAGCATTAGGCGTGAAACATTTAACTTATTAAATAGTTAGTAGAACAACTGGATCTCATCTTTCCAATTCATATCATTTATAGGTACAACGTTTTTCTTTCTTTCTTTTCCTTTTCTCTTCAAGCCTCTAGCTTGAAGCCCTATGTTCCACTGGTAACGTAAGGGAACCAAAAATATGAATTTACGTTGACCAGTCAAAATGAACAGCAGATAATTGTTATCAGCTTTTACTAACACTAAACAGCTCAAAATTTCGTTGTTTATAATTTTACTTATGATTTAAAATGTCCGCATTTGTGGAAAAACGTTTTTAAAACAAAACCAAATTGTCAGGATAAAATAAACAGTTTATCTGGATACGAAATTCCGACTGCTTAAAACTGGGCTTACGCATGCATAGTCGTTTTCCCAATGTAAACTTTGTCCGCATTATGTTTAAAGTGTTTTGTAGGCAAAGAACGCCAATAAGGGTGCAACATAAGTTAAGACTCTTCAATGTAGAAAAAGGGTGCGAGTAGACCGGTAAACCCTTCAAAAACAAAACTTGGGACCTCAAACAAAAGAATATTTCACTTAGTTATTCTGTAACCTGTTGAAGAATATAATATGATGATAAAAATGAAGGTTGTTCAAAGCCTTGATATGAAATAGTGGAGTCATAAGTTGGATCAACAACCATTTTGCACATAATGAGCTGATATACAGGCGATTGGGTCATTTGTTAGTAGTGTCACATTACACGTGTGAGACGAAAACTCAGCTGTGTCATTCACTAAACTTTTTGTAATCGCTTAATATTGTTTGAGTGAGATGAACATGAAGTTTCATCAGTAAAACTATATTCTAATGCTTAAATTGAACTAGATATGCATAAAAAGCTTATACAGTTATTTAAATAACTATCGGCCTTTTAACCAAAGAAAAAAATTATTAAATTGAATACCTTCTTGACTTGTAAGTTGTTAAAAAAGTTGAAGAGGAAAAAAGCGCAATCAGGCATTAACACCTGTATGTCGCTGAAAAGATCAGTAAGCTGACCATTCCGAAGGTGGAGCAAAAGAATTGCCACCTTAATTTTGACTGTCCGTTTTCCGCGAAATGTTTACTTTATATACATTTAGGTTACACAGCAAAATATGATGCTTTGGGAAAGTTACATAATGGCAGCCTAACCATAGTATTTTCTCAATTAACATTAAAGCCAGTCGTAATTAGTCCTTAAAAAGTAACTGCATCTAATCTGAACACCAGCTCCTATTGTTTTAATAATTCAAACATAATTACTGGAATTAAAGACTAGAAGATCAAAAAATATGATTAACAGAAACAGTTTAGTGAATTAATAATAATTTTTAATTTTCCATTTTAAGTCTAACAGGTTGGAAAAATCTGTTTTTGTCAATGAGTATATGATCGGATTATTTTTTTCTCAGAGAATGGTTTTAAGTTAAATTTTGATACATTGGTCAAAACCCATAAGGCAGTATACTTAATAAGAATAATTACTTCTGTTTAAATCAGATGATAGACAGATATTTTCAAAGTACCACTATCATTGCATAATACGACAAATGTAATCCCAAAACCAGTTTTTTTGTACATTTGTGGTCACAAATTATGGACATTGTGGATAAGCTTCCTCAATTCTACACAAAAAGCATTGTTTTGATCCCAGTAAACTCAATAATTAAGTAGATAGAACTGAATTTTGCAGTGTTTAAAGATAGACTTTTGAATTATTCCATATTAATCTGTTTATTGGATATACCACTCAAAGAAACACGGTCATCTCTTGGATGACGTTTCTCACACAAGTTATTATTTATAGATATATCAATTGTGATATGAAATCCTGGCAAAAAAGACCGAATCCTAAATTTAAACAGGAAAATAAATAAAACATTTATATTCCACATGTCACATATGATACAACACACCTATTTGGTTTCCACAACTTTTATGAATCTCAGAAGTAGAATGTATCGTTTCTGTGAACACAAAAATGGATTGAAATCGGGAAAATGTAGACTTTTCAAAAGAACTCAACACTTCCAGTGGACGGGAGTATTTTCATCTCTCAGTGGTGACTACGCAGCAAAAATTCCCAGTCTGAATAATCCTTCAGAGCTCCAGTCATCAAACCATTAAATAACTGGACTAATAAATATGCATGAACACGTGTTGTGACTGAGTGCATACACAGCTAGAGGTCATGGCAAGGGTTGCATTTTAAATTAACATTTTGACACTTTGAGCCACAGTGATTCAGATTAAAGCGTAAATTTAATGACATAAGCAAACGAATGTTTGAGAGATTATAAAAATCCTATGCATAAAAGTACTTATAACTTCAATAAAATGAATGAGTATGAGTGTCTTCAAAAGATAAAAGCATGCACTGAAAGATGTTTCAAATTGAGTGAAATATTTAGACATAAGCACATCTAAAGAAGCACTTACTTGCAGCGTTCAATGCATCTGTCTTCAACGTCCGAAATAAATAATGCACAAACTCCGCCATTCAGACATGGAAGCACTTTATCTTTGCAAAGATACGTACCCTGACTGTATAAAATAATTAAAAACGGAGTTCTAGACATACTCATCGCATCCTATGTCAATGACAACTGCATCTGGGGTCGGTTTTCTTGAAGAGAACAAGCGGGTAATTTCTAATTGATTACTTACGGATTGAATAGACGTCTAGATGTTGTAGTGCCCATATAATTTCGATTTAAATAGTCTGTGACCACAGGATACAACACTACTCACGAACCGTCATATAAGCACACAGAAAAGTGAGAAAAGAGAAACATTTTATAAATAGTACATAAATACTTCTGACCTTATAAATTAACCAAGGACAGATTAAAACAAAACTTTGTGTGCGGTAGTCACTTATGTATCAGATGTCGTAGATTTATGATTAATCAATAACGTGTAATTTTTTATAACTTCATTCTTAAATTCTGAAAATTATAATGCTTTTCTAAACTACACGTGAGGAAATGCGTCGTTCCCGGCAGTGGACTTTCATTCATGGGTCTATAAGACCACTTTGAAACTCGTAGGTGCTGTTGTGACTGTTAACACATATTAAGCATCCATTTGTAGCTGCTGTAAGGTCTAACAACGAGTGTTTTGATGTTCTGCTTTGGAAAAAGTGATTGGAAATTTTGTTTAAAAAGAACACTGGGTATGTTTCGCAAACTCGGAAAACGGAGTGAATTTTACACTCTCTTGCTTAGTTTTGGCTTTTGTTGTGTTACATGCTCCTAAAGTCTTCAGATTAACTTTATATCAGTTAACTCTGATCGAAGTTAGTTTACGTTTCTGTTTTGAGTCTATTAAATTATGGGAAGTTGTGTTAGTATAACTTTATAGTTGTATATATCCATTTTTATGCGCTGATTCGGTTTTTTATTACTGATTTATAAAGGATATACATAAAGTTATATTACAACCGTTTTACCCCAATTAGCCCTGAAAAGCGTACTGACAAAAAGCAGCCGCTGTGGAAGGGTTATGTTCCAATTTCCAGCTGATGAGGGAATGCAGTGTGATAACTGCAAGAGATGGTTTCATAGCATGTGCACAAACCTAAATCCTGCATCATATAAGCGCTGATGAAATCATCTTGCGAACTAGCCGTGCAATGGCTGCTGTATTACGACCAAGTTTCGTATAACGGAAGCCACTGCTACACTCAGTGTGGCTCTAAAGCTCATGGACTGTAAGGGAAAACAGCGACTACTGCTCAGACACCGATGACGTGACTAGCGTCATCGACAAAACGGTACATGTCCCTGATGCTTCTCTGTCAGCGACTGAGTGACCTTAAGCACTGAAGAGCACCCACCGTATTCCAGACACCCACACTGCCCCCACGATACGGATAAGCCGTCTAGTGACAGAAGCGGAAAGACTGCCAAGAAGAAGAGGCGTACGAGGGGTCGAAAACCTGCAACTCATGTTGCCTAGGGACTGGTTGGTCAAGCCTCATCCACACCGGTGAATAGCAGGCAGATAAAATTGACTACGATTGGCGAGGAAGACGCCAATGTGTGGTGCAATGTAGTATCTCGCAAAAAGCGCGATAAGGACAACACATCGGCTACACTGCCCACGAAGAACAAAAGGATATATACGCCGCAAGGCAAGAAAGTCATGGCAAGCAAACCTGATCTCTTTGACAGATACCCATTATCTGCAAAGTGGAATAGTCACTGGCCTCCATTCCCAAGGCCAGATTCGAGTGTGACTTTAGCTCGGTCAAGTGCCTACCGCTACCGCTAGAGATAGTATCAGGTATAACAATGCACAGCGTGTACAGAATCGGTCAAAAGCCTGTGTCTACAGTAAATCAGTCTGTGCGTCTCCTCTAAGTCGTACTAAACTCCCAAGAAGAGAAGGATACCATTCTTAAAGGATCAGGCATATATGTCCGTGTTGACTTAAGTCTAGCAGACAGCGTCAAAAGTCAGTCTGCGGCTGTAGAACTAAGCGAACGACGCAGAAACGGCGTAAAGAAGATTAAGAGTTTACGGGTTGTAGGTGTTCGCAGTTTGATGAAACCTCTGTGGGTACGCGGCGGAAGCTCCAAACTGAGTTGACAGTTTGCTACACAAACGTCCGCAGCCTAATGAACGAACGGACTGAGCTGGTTAATATAACAGACTCCGCAAATCCGGATGTAATTATCATCACAGAGACATGGCTCATACCCAATGTCACTGACAACGAATTTAACCTGATAAACTTCGAAGTGCATGGGGTAGACCGACTAAGCCGCAGAAGAGGTGGCGTATTCATCTGCCTCAAGAAATGCATAACCGTGCGAGCAACGAAATGGAAACGTGCGAACTTCTACGCTGCAGAATTAAATGCATGGGCCAAGACGCAGACCCATTGCTATATGCCGCAGTCCTGACTGCAGTGCAGATGACTCCCTAGAAATCGAAATGTCGAAGTCTCGTAGTCATAGACTTCAACGCCCAAACGGTTGACTGGAAGAGCCTTACAACTTCATCTTCAGTCAACTCCTTCTATCATAAACTGCTAGAATCTAGTGTATGGCTAGTCCTAGTTCAACATATCATTGAGCCCATGCTGTATGAGTCACAGCATTTCTCTTCATCTCTGCACCTAGAACTCTCCTATGGTGAGGATTTAGATCGCATACACTTTATGCCTCCCTAAGGAAGAAGTGATCACGCTGTGCTCACTTCCAAGTTCACAGCAGCAAGTGCCAAAACTCCAGCTCGACCAAACGTTTTGAAGGCTGATATCAATGCAGTCATCTCAGCAGCCAGCTCAGCGGACTGGTGCATCAACACAGAGTCCCAAGTAGAAGTTGCATGGAACCAACTCAAGCAACTTTACGCCCAAGTCACTGAACCTTTCACCCCTTGGTCTGTCCCAGAGAGTTGGGAACACTGCCACTCTTGGATAAATCGAGTGATTCGTAAGTCACCCAGACGTAAACACAAATGTTGGAACCTGTTTGCCACACTTGAGACTCATGGGACCATAAAATTATATAACACTGCTAGGAATAAAGCTATTGCGGAAATCCGCCAATCAAGGATGAAGTTTGAAGCACATCTGGCTCAAAATGCAAAGACACAACCTAATAAAATTTTCTCGTACACGAACTTCAGGAATAAAGCATACAATGGTGTCCCAAACCTGACTGTTGACAATAACACAATCGAAGAAGATCAAGAGAAAGCAGAAGTGATGGCAGACTACTCCTCCTGAGTCTTTATACAGTAATCATCACTCCTTATAGGTTCAGCTCTGGCTGCATCAGAGGAATACGGGAGAGATTCCGTTGACATCGACCAAGGCATCGTGCTCAAATGCCCAATGAATCTAGGTGCAGAGAAATCAATGGGTCCTGATAATCCTCATCCGAGGCTTCTCAAGGAGCTATCAGCTCATATGGCCAGTCCTTTGACCACGATCTTCAAGCTATATCTCCTAAATGAAGTGTTACCACGTGACTGGAAAGACGCGGTAGTAACGCCCATCCATATATGAGGATCAGGACAAAGCCCTTCAAATTAGAGACCTATCAGTCTCACCAGCACTTTAGTCGAGAAATGGGAAAGAATCACCGAGAAAAGCATCATGGCATATCTGGAAAACGGCAGCTTGTTATCTAGAACACAGCATGGCTTCCGGAGGAACCTCTCATGCCTGTCAAGTCTCCTCACTGCAAGATCAAGCCGGGTCAAATCAAAGGACAACAGAGGACCCGTTGACGTCGTCTGCACAGACTTCAGTAAAGCCGTTGAAAAAAGTATATCACAAAAGACTACTCATGAAGTTGGAAAGTCTTGGTATCAAAGGTAGATTACTAAACTGGCTCAGGGAATTCCTCATAGATAGGAGGCAGAGGGTTAGGATCAACTGGAAACTCTCCTCTTTGACGGCAGTTTGTAGCGGAGCCCCACGAGGCAGGGCACTCGGGCCTCTCCTATTTAATTTGTAAATCAGTGAGTTATCTCTGCTCACAGATTCCCCAACGGTCCTACACGCAGATGAACTAAACATTCGGAGAGAGCCGAAGGGCAACAGTGGTACGTCCGCGCTGCAAGAGGACCTCAGAAATCGTCATAGTGATCCAGAGAATTGATACCCCCGATGAATGTGGCGAAATGTGCAACCATGCTCATCGAACAAACAAGCATCAGCTCCTACGAAATAAAGGGAATAACACTTCCATCAATTCAGACTCACTTGGACTTAGTTGTCATAGTTAGCCATGATTTAGAAACTACAGCACAATGTCGTGCGGTGGCTGCACGTAGTTTCAGGTCATTATGGGCAATTCGCAGGGCCTTTACTAGAATCACCAGAAATATGTTCGCCCCCTTATGTACATCTCTGGTGAGATCAAGACTAGAAAACTGTATCCAGGCAGCCAGTCCTTGTTTCAAAGGGGACTCACACATTCTAGAAAGTGTTCAAAGGAAGGCAACACGTATGGTTCACGGCATAGCTAAATTATCATACGAGGAAAGACTAGACAGTTTAAATCTCTTCTCACTCTCATGCCGTATGCATAGAAGGGATTTAACCACAATGTTTAAAATTTTACACAATGACTACGAACCTGACCTATTCTCTCTTTTCCTTCCCACCAGGTCGGAACACCTTAGAGGACATAGCAAGAGAGTTCAAAAGCCAAGAAGAAATGATATTGCTCTTGAATACTGAGTCTCACACCGACTCATAAACTCTTGGGACCGACTCCCAGAAGAAGTGGCCTCTGCAACCTCAACTGATTCATTCAAGAAGGGATTGAATAACCACAGAAATTTACTACCAAATGATTAACATGGGCGCCAGGCCTTCTATCCTCGACCAATAAATCTGAAATCTGTTACGAAGCGGAAAAAAGATATAAAATGGTACAATTCTGCTTCTTGGTAATTTCAAGTTATTCACAACAGCTTTCAACTATGTGGAGTCTGGCTGTTAAGATGTTTCATGACTGTTTCACATGTACGACAGACTGTAACACTTGTAATACTTCGGTCTTAGGTGTGAGGGTGAGGAGACAGTTGGGGGTTTAGAAGGTCTAATGATTCGATTTGAACGTGCGGGAATCGTGCTCCACTGCCACTTATGGTTACTAAGGATAAGTAAAGATTTGATTCCTCTGCAGAGTTAAACATAGAGACATACGCGATATCGAACTTTTATTCTGCTTGTT